AAATAGTTCTTCAATATTTTGATAACTGTCAATTAATGGCCTATTATATTTTGGAGAACTTCGTGAATTTATATTTCCCAGGCAAGATTGAGTTCTATTTTGGAAGATTAAAATTGCCACTCGAGTGTAGGAACGAAAATCAGTTTAGAACTGCTTTTGAGTCTTCGGCCCACGGACTATTGAGGCAGTGGGAGTTTCGGGGATTACACAAACAATTACTCGAGTCACAGCGGGTCGTTGCAGATGACTGACTAAGTCGCTAACTAACTGATCTTTGGGCAGCCTCGCTTGTATTTATACCTACCTGCAAGGATTGTTCGGGAATTGGATTTTTCCGGTTCTCTCGAGAAAACAGAACAATGAATCGAAAATGCGAGAGTGTCTGGAAGTTTCGAGCGAAGATGAGTCATCTGTTTAGGTCGGATGGATATGTCCAGAATACTATTGTGTTTTGAATATCGCTGCAGGTAGTTTTTATGCGGGTCGTCACATTACGAAGTAAGAACGCGTTCAAACATTCTCACGACGGCACTCTTAAACGGGCCGGATTAAACCTTTCCGCGGCCGTAGTTTCCCCATCACTGATCTAAAGTTACCCCAACATTGATAGTCTTATATTGTGAATTGATGTTTAATAATCGACTCCATTCTCCACACTTTTATCCTAATTTTGATGTTTCATAAAGTTTATTTTAATTACATTAATGGCTCCGATTTGATAATCACTAATTATTCATTACATTAAAAATTAAAGGAAGTATCATATAATGAAAATCTCGAAGAAATTACAATTATTTTAGAAAACTCAACTTAAGAACACTCACTTTTAAATGAAGTAAAATTATTATTTTTTTCAAAATAGTTTACAACATAATTTTAATGATTCACTTTACAGAATATGAATGATTTGACCTGGGTGTGTAATAACTCTTATAATTTGAATCCACCACCGAACTTCTTGGTTCACATGAAACATAAGAACTTAGGCATCAACCAAAGCACGTTGAAAAATGTTTGTTGTTTAGCTTCAGAGTTTTAAGCTTCGCTTCTTTTCTCGTTGTAGCTTGTAGCTTACAAATTACATAACCATTAGGAATATTAAACACTGTTTTCACTGTGCATTGGCGATCGAAATGGGCATCCGGTGGCGTCCAGTAGCATGTGGAGAGTCATAGAAGAAGGAAGTACGTTAGCTTCTCTCGTGATGAAGTTGGAAAACTATACGGAATTGAAAACTACGTTAAACATAGTTCTAACGAAAAGTATCACGGGAAATATTTTCCCCAGATGGCGTATTCGAGTGTTGCGATCGCCAATTTACATTTATATTGAAGACACCCTCCATATATGCACCTACGATCGACGTCGAGAGAGAACTTGCGAGGCCATTTGCACTTAATGCAATTCACGCACCTCCAAGCACTGGAAATATTTTTCACGAATCTCAGGTTCATTCTCTATAAATGGTGAATGGAAGTGCGAAAACCACATTCAATGAAATTGCCCCTTGATTGCCGGAGAAGGGATACGCATCATTATCAATAGCTGATATTCTCACAATAACAAATCTGCAGCGGATCCAAGTCTACGCTAGTATCCGTGAGCGGATCTCACGCTAGTTTTGTCGGACAGGTGGCAGTAGAATTTTCTCTCTTTCGTATGCCTGTTAAGGCAGAGGGGTGCGATTATTCTTGTTTTCCACTCTATGTCCAAGAATTCTACTTCTGACACATCCATACGTCACACCCGTTTATAGGGCGGACCCATTCACGCATCCATCCACAAATCGTAATTTTGATCTGAACCAGAGAACGATCAATCTCCAATTCAAGTACCCCCACAGGTATTAATTTGTTATGGGAACATGGGGGACTTCGCGACTCAACAGATTTAACGTGCATCAGTCACCATTTACTACACGGGGAGTCTTCGGCCGGCGGGTTCGAACCCACGAACTCTCGATCATGGGCCCAGCGCCCTACCGACCAGGCTATCCCGGCCTGGCAGTTGAATTTTGAACGGAATATAAGAAATCTGTTTTGTACAGTGAGCAAAAATAATAAAAAGGCCACCCAGAATAACTTTTAATCTAATGATTGTTTCTTCACATTCTAGGACTCAGTCATAACGATTAAAGGAAATTATCTGAAATATGCTAATTAATTAGTACAATCGATATTTTAAGTCACTGAATCAGACACAAAAACACTTTATGGAAATAAACGTACTTTTTAATCTTTTTCGACGTATTCAAATTTTGACCCCTAAGGCATAGGGGGTGCCTTTGGCCCTTCCCTAGTCATATCTGTCCAACAGAGAATCCAATTCCTCCTTTTAAATTATCTTCCGATTTAATATGCGGAGGAATTGTCGGTTGTACTTTAGGATGAGGCCTTCAACTTTTTTGCAAAATGCCCTTTTTTTTTTTATTCACACATACTTGTGTGCCCATTCTATCAAGTTGACCCAAGTCAAAATTCTTGTTGGTCCCATCAAAAAATTATGATTCAATTAGATTATTTACGTTTCTTTCAGTACGATTCATGATGGTCAAATATTTTCGATTCTGTGCTCATAGTGTTTGATAGGCCAACAAGCGCTATGCTTTACATACGATATGCTTACAAGTGCTCTCAAGAAAAGTTTGATTCTCATGAACCAACAGTTCATGATAGTCTGTGATGGTTCCAACTATACATTTCCGTGCTGGTTTAGGTAGAATTGGACTACCATAAATCAATCCGAATTATTCCTGCTTTGGGATGATGGTTGTTCATGATCATTCCAACATTTGATTTCTAAGAAACTATGAAGGAGATTTCTGATGGTCCAACTTGAACAAACCATCAAAACAAGTTGCTGTTCTTATGTTGAACCAACATAAATCAGTCCGAATTCCTACATTGGGGTGATGATTACTTATGTTGGATGTTGGTTACCACGGACGTAGCTATAGCTTTTACATGGGGGGGGGGTCGAGAATTTCCATTATATTTATATATATATATATATATATGGTGTGTAAAAAATATAAATACAATACAATAAATATATAAATACAGGTGTGTAAAATATTTGTTTATTGTAAGGAAAACAATGATCAAAGAGTATAGAAAAATGTTAGTTGCTTAAAGTAATAAATTTAATCTTTTGCTCCTTGTTGTTGATTTATTTTCAATTTCGTCGGTATCCAATTGCACCGCCAAGTCACGATGCAAACTCAGAAGAGCAAGTCCAGTCTGTCTCTCATCTCCCATCTTATTTCCGAGATAGGTTTTTAATCTCTTTAGAGTGGAGAAACTTCTTTCTGGTGTCGCGGTGGAAACCGGAAGTGTTGCCAAAATACCCAGCAACGTTCTTGTCAGAGGGAAAAACTGTTGATCGCACTAATCGAGAGTTTCGAGAACAGTGACCGGTTTTTCGGATATTGATTCCCAGTGTTTTCTCCGTATGTCATATTCACTAAGAAATGTGTTACATGCCAATACATCCATGGTGAATACTTTACACCACAGTTCATATTGAAGGAGTACATGTACCTACCTTTTTTGGGTTTATCAACATCGTTCGATTCATCATCCTCCGCTATTTCTTCATGCTGGGATTTTTCATTACGAGAAGCAATGCCACTGTCATTTGTAGGAAGTTCACGGGGTCTTTCGTTTTTAGAAAAAAACCCAAGAGAGATTGTTGAGTAGTTCATATTTTGAATACTTTTTATTTATTCAATATCAATTATCCTTATCTACATGTAGAGTATAAGTACATGAGGAAAGAGTTTCGTTTTGAACCGCTTTCAATCTGTCTGCGCAAGGCGAAATGCCGAAATTACCACCATCAGCACGTCTTCTTTCGTCCTTCCTTGGGAGAGAGCCATTCCATTTTGCTCGCGGGTGGAGAAGGACAGAGTGGATTGGGTGCTATCTCGATGAAACATGCAAAGTCAGGGATTCTTTAGATTTTGTAAGGTGCAAACGAAATTATTTTTCTCACATATTTCTTAAAAAACTATTTTTCGAGGCAAGAGACGTATATTATAAGAAGCTCTATGCGATATTGGGAAATATGGATATTAAAAGAAAATCAAGCTAATGGGTCCGGAACCCATGAACACCCCTATTATATACCTCCGTGTTGGTTACCATCAAGATTATGTTGGTCCATCACTGGAGAAACCATAAAAAACTTTGACATGGGTTGGTTTCACAAAGAACCTCTCCGAACCGTCCAAGAACTGAAAAAACCCTCCTTGATAAATCATAATGGACAGCGTGAATAAGAAATACATTTGTGTCCGAGGTAATCACACATCTTACGGCAGGGAAGAGAAAACTTTTGATCGAGGGCAAAAAATGGAAGAAAAAAAAGTTTGGTGGCCAAGTAAAAACTTCTAAAATGAAAATGAAATACAAATTTTAAATTAAATATTTAACGAGAAATTGCGATTTCATCTTTAAAAGTTTCTTATATTGAGGTTTGAAGTGAGATGTACTTATTTTAAGGAACGAGGCTAAATGCTCGTCTGGCAGTTTACTTCTGAAATGACTTTTTTTTCAGGTTCATAGTTGAAAACACTTGTTTAAATAAAAGATGAAGTAAATATAGCACCCAGAAACTGGAACTTTGGGAAACTAGGTAATGATTTGTAAAACTCAAACTTTGGCATATTTAGAAACTATTTGCTTCATATGATTGGCTTCGAAATTCGATCCCCACCCCGCCATTTTATTTTATTTATTATATTTTTATTATTATTCCATTATGCGTTCTTTAACAAAGAAAGATGCGCTATTTTACTCATAGAACACCTTGCGCATTAGAAACTGTTGAATATATTGTAAAAATAATTTAAAACAATGGAAATAAGTCAATTTTCCTGGAATCTATCAGTTTTAACTAATTGTTCGCCATTTTCTCAAATTTAAAAAATTATTTCCTATATGTAGGACCCTCTAAAATATGAAAAATACCTTGAAAAAATAATATATTGCAAAATAATCGGAGGAAAAAAAAAAGAATTTTTTTTGAAAAGTTGATAAAGCTGGGATTCGAACCTGCGCCCGCTCGCCGCAGCCGTCAGTCACTAGTCCCGTCTCCTAACAACTATACCACTAGAACACGAGAAGATTGCCACAATTTCTCTTCAAAAGTCCTCTTTCTGTCAGCTATACAAAAGAACTTAGAGAGCCCCCTGCTCCCCCTGATTCACCTATAAAAATTTCCTACAGCAGATATGTTAGGGCCATAGACCCCTACTCAGGGTCCGAGTTTGAAAATTATAACTTAATATTAAAGGGAGTTAGACGGCTTCGAAATTCGAACCCCTTCCCGCCATTTTATTATATTTATTGTATTTTTATTATTATTCCATTATGCGTTCTTTAACAAAGAAAGATGCACAATTTTACTCACAGAACACCTTACGCATTAGAAACTGTCGAGTATATTGTAAAAATAATTTAAAACAACGGAAATAAGCCAATTTCCCTGTATTTTTCCAGTGTTTACCCATTGTTCAACATTTTCTCAATTTAAAAAAATTATTTCTTATATGTAGTACCCTCTAAAATATGGAAAAACACCTTGAAAAAATAATATCATGCAAAAAATTCGGAAGAAAAAAAAAGAAATTTTTTTGAAAAGTTGATAAAGCTGGGATTCGAACCTGCACCCGCTCGCCCCAGCCGTCAGTCACTAGTCCCGTGTCCTGACCACTATACCACTAGAACACGAGAAGCCTGCCACATTTTCTCTTCAAAAGTCCTCTTTCTGTCAGCTATTCAATAGAACTTAGAGAGCCCCCCTGCTCCCCCTAATTCACCTATAAAAATTTCTTGAGGCAGATATGTTAGGGCCATAGACCCCTACTCAGGGTCCGAGTTTGAAAATTATAACTTAATATTAAAGGGAGTTAGACGGCTTCGAAATTCGAACCCCTTCCCGCCATTTTATTATATTTATTGTATTTTTTTTATTATTGTTCTATTATGCGTTCTTTAACAAAGAAAGATGCACAATTTTACTCACAGA